GCTTATGCAGAGTGATAAGGTGGTTGCTTATGCATCAAGGCAGTTGAGGACTCATGAGAAGAACTATCCTACACATGACTTAGAGCTTGTTGCAGTCGTTTTTGTGTTGAAGATTTGGAGTCATTATCTTTATGGTTCTAGGTTTGAAATATTTAGTGACCATAAGAGTTTAAATTATTTATTTGATCAGAAATAATTGAACATGAGACAGCGAAGATGGTTGGAGTTATTAAAGTATTATGATTTCAGTTTGAATTATCATCCAGGAAATGCAAATGTGGTGTCTGATGCGTTAAGTCGAAAGACTTTACATATGTCGGAAATGATGGTTAAATAGTTGAAATTAATTGAGCAGTTCAGAGATATGAGCATAGTTTGTGAAGTGACACCGCAGAGTGTTATGTTGGGAATGTTGAAAATTAACAATGAATTTCTGGAGAGTATCAAAAGAGCTCGGAAGTTAGATGTGAAACTAGTATACTCGATGGTTGGGATCGATCATTCTGAGAATAGTCATTTTAAGTTAGATGTGCAAGGTGTGTTGAGATTTCATAATCGAATTTGTATTCCTAATGATGCAGAGATGAAGAAAGTGATTCTTGAGGAAAGTCATATAAGCAAGTTGAGCATTCATCTGGGAGCTACAAAAATGTATCAAGATTTGAAGAATTTATTTTGGTGGCTTGGAATGAAGAATAATGTGACTCGGTTTGTGTATGCATGTTTAACCTGTCAAAATTCGAAAGTTGAATATCAAAAGTATGTAGGGTTGATGTAACCGTTAGAAGTTCCGTAATGGAAATGGGATATAATTTCGATGGACTTTGTAACGGGGTTACCTAATACTTTAAGAGGACATGATTCGATTTGGGTGATTGTTATAGGCTTACAAAGTGGGCTCATTTTATTCCTATTAACATTAGTTTTATAGTATCAAAGTTGGCGGAGATTTACAATTGGGTAATTGTGAAATTGCATGGTATTCCTTTGCGTATTGTTTCGGATAGGGATCTGAGGTTTACTTCATATTTTTGGAAGAGTTTGCAAGAGGCATTGGGTTCTAAGTTGAGGTTGAGTTCGGCGTATCACCCTAAGATGGATGGTGAAATTGAAAGAACTATTCAGCCATTAGAAGATTTATTGAGAGCATGTGTTCTTGAGCAGGGAGGTTCGTGGGATACTTATCTTCCGTTAATAGAGTTCACTTATAATAACAATTACCATTCTAGTATTGGAATGACACCTTTTGAAGTGTTGTATGGTCGAAAATGTAGAACTCCTTTATGTTGGCATGAGTCTGGAGAAAGTGTAGTGCTTGCTGAGATTGTTCGAGAGACTACTGAGAAGGTTAAGTTAATTCGAGAAAAGATTAAAGCTTCTCAAAGTAGACATAAAAGTTATCATGACATACGCAGGAAAGATTTAGAATTTCAAGCAGGTGACCATGTGTTTCTGGGAGTTACACATGTGACTGGTGTTAGGGGAACATTAAAGTCTAAGAAGCTCACTCCTTGTTTTATTGGTCCATATCAGATTTCAGACAAAGTTGAGAATGTTGCTTATAGAGTGGATTTACCGCCTAATCTTTTAAATTTGCATGATGTGTTTCATGTGTCACAACTCCAGAAGTATATTTCAGATCCATCTCATGTGATTCATATGGATGATGTTTAAGTACTTGATAATCTTACTGTGGAGACGGTGCCTGTGCGAATCACGGATCGTAAAATGAAGACTCTAAGAGGCAAGGAGATTACTCTGGTGAAAGTAGTCTGGTTAGCAGCGGTCGGGGAAAGCATGATGTGGGAGTTGGAAAGCAAGATGCGAGACTCCTATCCTGAGTTGTTTGAACAAGGTAAGTTTTTTAGAACAAAAATATTCTAAGTGGAGGAGGGTTGTAACGCCTGTTAATTTAATTAATTATTTAATTATATTATTTTTGGATTATTTATTGGAAAGTTGTGAGTTGTTGAGAATTGTTGGTATAATTTGTTAGAATATTATTAATTAATTAATTAGTTGATTAATAACAATAATAATGTTGGAATTAATAGAATATTGATAGTATTAGTTGTTGGGCTTGTTTTGGTGGGGGGTGTGAATATTAGGCCCAATAGAAATAATAATATTATTATTAGGTTTAGTTATAATAATATTATTAGGTTAATTAAAAAGGGTTAAGAGAAAGAGTAGAAAAAGTATTGTACGTGAGAAGTTACAGAGAAGAGTAAAAGAGGCAAAAGCTAGGCTTGATCAGAAAATCATAGAGCAACCTTCAATCCAAGGTAAGGGTGAGGTACTGACTCTATAATGGAATTTTTGATGCATGATTGATCTGTGTTGAATTGAATGATGTTGTTGTATTTGATTGAGTATGAATTGGGATATTATGATTGTGTTTGTTGTTGGAGAATTTTGTTGTTATGATGATGATGCCATGAGACCCCAACCTAAAACCTATGAGTAATAAAAATTAGGATTAGAGGATTTGATGATGAAAAAAGACCCGTAATTGGTGTACGAAAAGTATTGCGTTATGATGAATTGATAGATAGTGAATCTATATATTTAGATGACTGTTAGGACTCGTAATGTGACAAGATCGAAAGAAAATTTGATCTGGTATAGTGCAGAATCGCAAACAGGAAAACCTTATTCGCAGAGAATCGTCGGGTGATACAAGGAGCATCGTCGGGCGATACAAGGAGCATCGTCGAGCGATACAAGGAGCATCATCGGGCGTCGGTGCTTCACTGAGCGAAAGTGGAGGCGAGAATAAGGAATATTTTTGGATGAGCTACTGGAGTGCGTCGCGCCTAGCATCGTCAGGCGAAGGGTGACACGAAGGCAGCGTCGTCGGGTGACGGTTGTCAGTAGCTGATAGATGTTTTTTTGTTGGATTTTCTTGAATCGACCATAACTTTAGTATTTAGTTACAAAAATAGATGTAGTAGAGTTAGAAAAGAATGAATAATAATAGAGGCTATTTATTAGTAACAGAAGTGAATACTTGTAGATTAGTATAAGTATAGCCAGTACGATTATTAGGTTACAGAGTTGGTCTCGACATGGAGTATAATATTAATAGGGGTAATTGGTATATATAAGTTGATGTGATGTTGGTGTTATTAATCGTCGAAATTGCAGGTAGTAATGAGTTATGTTGAAATGCCTCTAATTATGAGCAGATATAAAGTTTTAGGCTTATGACCAATGTTGAATTAAGTTGAATTATTATTGTTATTGTTATTACGTTCATGTTGTTAATGCACACATGGTATATCATGTTGGAGTTGATGCTCGTTAAGTTGGTCTGGATTGACAAATATAAAGTTGAAGGCTTATGACATGTTGATGCCTCTATTTATTGGCAGATTTCTAAGTTGGAAGTTCTGCTCCACTGGTACCTCATGCATGTGCATAAAAACAAGTGGCACTCCATGTTGCATTCTGCGTTGTCATGTGGATGAATTCATGATGATAATGTTGTTAAATAGCTGTGATGTGGTGTTTTGCATGAACCAATTCTATTATATTAATTGTCGTACCTCTGATTATATTATTTGATATCTCACCTCTTATGTTTGAATGTTACCTCCATATTAGTAACGTGCAGGTAATCCAGAGTGAAGGCAATTTATCTTTTGTAGTTTGAGTCGGTGTTGCTCTGATACGTAACACTCAGGGGGATGAATGTCTGTGACTTTATTATTGTTATTATTTATTTGTTGAATTTTAAGTTGATTTTTGTTATGTACTTGTTATTTGGAGATGTTTCAGTTGGATAAAGGTGTTATGCCTTTTTTTAGTTGAATATTATGATTCAGCTGCGTAGTTATGAAAGTTGTTGGATTTAAAAGATTAATTTATGTTGTTGTTGGTTCATCCAAGTTTAATGTGTTATGTATCTGTTATGAATGTCATTGTTATAAGTTGTAAGTGTAGCATCCTATTTGTATGTTGAAATTTTATAACTTTGATTTTATTAATATTCTTCGAACATAAATGGGGTGTTACAACTGATAACTGGTAGCTGGTTGCTGATAGTTGGTAGTTAGTATCTTATAGTTGGTGACTCATAGTTGATAAACTAACATGAATGTTTGATAAATTAACAATTTCATTAGCGGATAGATACAAAATGATATAAAGACCATTTTAATTAATAAAGATGATAATATATTTTTAATAAAATAATAAGAATATAAATGAAAGAAAAAATCACAAATTAAAAACTACAAATTCAAAAACTAATTCAAATAGCTTTTGAAAAAAAAAAACTAAAAACTAGTGAAAAATCTACAAACTAAAAACTAAAATTGAATTATCAAACAAAACTTTTTTATTAATGTAAGCTGAAAAGGTAAAAACTCTTTTGAGTCTTCTTGTTCATCTAAACTAAGTTCAATCCAAATACCACCATTTAAATTAACTTGTGCAAAAAAATTTAAGGCAATTTGCGCATTTCTTCTCATGGCATGTTTATGTTTAGTATTTCGGCTTTACCATTTGTTTTTCTAATAAAGGGGACACGTTTATATATTTTTTAAATAAAATTGATAAATCGTTTGTGTTTTTCTTGAAAGACTAATAAACATGAAATGTAGAATAGTAAAAGAGAACATAACAAAAGAGAATCATGGTTTTTCATAATTTATATGCTATTTCTGATTAACGAGGGTAACAATCCTTTTTTTTGTCTAACAGGCATTGCAACAGCTTGCAATTGATGATTTTTACATACGAATAAGCTCACTTAACTTTTAATTTTTGTCTATTGCAAACAAGAAACGTAAACAAAGCAAGACTTTGAAGGTGTCCTCTACAAAAGTTATAGAAACAAAAATAATTGAATATACCCAACAATTCATGTTTCCATTTAACCAGCAAACTTTCGAACAAACATGAGCAGAACCCAAATATTAAGCATGAACAAAGCCAAAAATGATCCGGACAACACTGATAACAAATCCTCCTATTCATAATCGTAATCATAATACTCAATTCTCAATATTCGACCTCCAACGTAAGCGCGTTAATAAGAGATCAGGATCGGAAAAAGTATAATAATCCTCGTCCATAGAATCCAATGGAAGTAAAAAGTCATTGATTTGCATGTTGCATCTTTGCTTTATACTTTCAGTCAATTCAAGATAAAAACATCCTCGCAGATCAAGAGATTCAAGAAGAGTGCATCCATTAAGAAGTGCAAATAATCCATCATTGGTAAGATTATTATTATTCAAAATCTTAAGATGTCTCAGTCTAGGCATCCATTCTGCGATTTCAAACGCTTGACGATCACATTTAAAATAACCAAAAAGACTTAACGATTTTAAAAGAGGGCAACATTGACCAATAATATCAAAAGAAACTTTATCGAGAAGGTGGCATTTAGAAATATGAAGCTCTTCTAACAGTGGAAATTTCTTCACAGCTTTAATCAGTCCTTTATTTGACAATAATCTATGGCACTCCTCAATCCCTAAGCGCCGCAGCTTACTCGCCCTACAATGATTATAGTTATGAAAATAAAGGATAACCTTAGAGAAATAATAAATAAAAAACCATAATCAAGCAACAACTAGATATGATTATAACACTTAGACTGTTACATTCGGAAAAAAAATATAAAAATATAATACTATATACCTATCAGCTACATATTGAAGGAGATCATCATTTCCAAAAAACTTTATATAAATGTGTTCAAGACCACCGCAACTTTTGTCAACGGCATAGCGACAAATGTTGGATAAGTTAGAAGAATTATAACGTAACATGTGAATATCGGTCATGCGAATGGTACGCCACATGAGAGGGTCTTTGCAAATGTTCCACCAATAAGGACACACATTTCGTGCGCTGATAAGTATTTCAACAGGACAGAGCTTCTGGAGGATGTTTGAAGTTATATCTTTGGGAAGCTCTAACCAGTTTGGGTTAGTTGTTGTGCTTTCATGTTTTGCTTTATTAGCTGGGATTGAACATGATGCCATTGTGTATACTGAAGATAGGTGGAGGTGGGAGAAGATATATTTATAAACAGTAGGGCCACACCGCACACTTTTCAACAAAACCCATTTAGCTGCCCAATATCCAACTAATAGTAATAAGTAGCTTTGGAAATATTCAATTTGCTAGGAAATGCCAAAGGTTATCAACTCTCTATTTTAATCATTAACTAGTACTACTATTTTTAACAAAAGAAAAACTAAAGTGGCAAAAACTACTTACATTTTCTGGACATTATTATAAACAATTTTTATATTTTTAATATATTTGATTATTAATGTATCTAATTTCTATACATTGTAAATCAAATATATCAAAAAATAAAAATTATTTATAATAATATTTAAAGAATATATATCTTTAATATATTTATTAGTTGTGCTATATATCGGAGAGTGTTCCCATAAAGTTAAGAAATTTGTTAATAGAAGAGAAAAAAAATTTCTTTTAAATGTCCATCATAAGTGATGTAAAAAAACAAAATATTGATTTGATAATGGTAAAAATATAGTAATGTGCAATTGAAAAAAAAGTTAGTAATATCTATTATACAATAAGACAATATATCATGAAAAAGTCAAAATTATCCTTTTTACATTTTGTCCAAACCTTAGCTTATATTTTGTTTCTCATGCCGGTAACGCTACCGCAGATACAAAGTGGGGGAAATTAACCCTTCAAACCTCATAACAGATCCGACCAACAGAAAAATACATTGCAAACTACAACCCGGCATAGAATTGCAAGTGATTGTTCATAACTCCCAGCCAATTTTTCTGCTTTTGCGACCCAAAAATCTCACCAAAATACCAAGACAAAAGAAACACACTTTCAAAGTAGTCAACTGTAACCTTTTCTTCCCAAGAATTTAACAAATGAAAGACGGAGACACACATATAGGTAAATAAAATTCATAAATACACAGTAACCACAAAAGTACATTAAAAGCAAAGACACATGCATACATGCTCTCCTTTATTTGGGTAAAATTAAATAAAAAACTAAAATTGTAACGCAGTTAAGTTCATCATTGGTTAATATGTATTTATTTATATAATATATAAATTAATTGAAATATTAAAATTTAAAGCTTTAACAATGTCAAATTCGTTTAATATATTTTATTATGTATTAAATATTTATAAGAAAGATGGATAAATTTATCCATTTCTAACTTTAAAAATTATAATCAACTCAAATTATCATATTTATATTTATGTTAAAGTAGACCGTAAATAATTATGTTATATTAATGTATTTTTTTTAATATTTGTTCTCCTATCTGTTTATAAAACTAAAACAATAATTGCATAAGTGTATTTACGAAAAAAATGTTTGTCACTTATAAATTGATTAAATATATATTTTTTAAATATGTGAAAATATTATTTTGTTAATAATATATAAATCATGAAAATTTGAATAATTTTTTTATATATTTTTCTTTTAAAAATAATAATTTTTTTGGTAAAATAATTTTATGTTTCTGTTTTTTCATTTTTATTACATTTTAGAAACAAATACGCGTAACATATCAGTACTCGTACGAACGCACGAATATCTAGATTAGAATTTATGCAAAGTCACGAAATTTTATATTTTTTGTACAATTAAAAATAAATAAAAATAAATATATTTAAAATAATGTATAAATTCAAACACATGCAAAATGTATTTATTTTATGTTACTAGTATTTATTTATACAATTAAAACAATATATACAAAATGTGTTTTAGTTGATACTTATAAAATTAAATGATTGCATAAATATTTTTATAAATAATGTGAAAACAAAATTAATGTTTACATACGAGGAAATATATGGTTGATCCAAATATTTGTATATATGAAAAAATTATATTTATGTTCGAAATAAAAATAAAAATAAAAATATGTCTTTTTTTTTTAAATAATAAACTCGTTTTTGGTAAAATAATTTTGTTTTTATTTTTGACATTTTTATTATATTTTAAAAAAATATGTGTAACATACCAGTACCTATTCGAACGCACATGTATCTCACTGATTGTATAGAAAAAGTTATTCATTTTTATACTACTTTTTTAATGCACATCAAATAGTTTGGGAAAGATAGAGTAATATAATTTTGATTCTAATGGTGGGATTAGGTCAGGCTTTAGAAAGGTCCAAATTTAACCTACGATAAAATTTCAAGACTTGATCTTGGTCTATAATTTATTATAGGCTTTTTTTTTGTTTAATCTAATATTTTTAAAAGTATGACCAGACTTTAAACCTATTTAAAAATTAGTTTCACATTGAGACTATCTGGTCTTTTGTGTATATTATTCGGTCTATTTTCTAATAGATATGTATATAAATGTCAATTTATCAATATTTATAGACTTTTTAATATCCTAAGTTTGACCAACTTAATTAAATAGACTTTTAAAAAAATTGAGTTTACATTTTTAAAAAATAGGTCGGGTCATGCCTGACTTAAATAAGCAAAGACTATAGACCCTTATAGATAGGTGTGATACGGTGGGAGAACTGACTAGGGTTTTGCGTTTGTATTCGCAAATGTTTCGGTTGAGCAAGAGTCGCCACCGACTTTTTATTTTATCCTAAGGAAAGGTTTAAAAAGCATAGCAAAAACCTTTGAGTTTTTTTCTTGGGTTCGGGGAGTAGATTATAGAAAGGGAAGGTATTAGCACCCTTTCTATACATGGTTATCCATAGGCTCTTAGGTACTTGCTTAGATCAAACTTGCCTTGGTTTTCAATTGTTTGAGATGATGCTTTGTGTGTGGGTTTTGAAAAATGTTTTGAAAAGAGGCCAATGTGGTGGCAACCTTGGTAATGATCCATGTTGGGATGTATACAAAGATGTATGTCTTTTGAAAAGTTTTCCATGTTTTTGAAAGTTGTTTTGAAAGTGTTTGTGATGTATGGTTTTGAAAAAGTAGGCAAGCGTTTTTGTTTTGCAAGTTGGCGAGTACCCAAGAGTTTGTCTACTCTAAGTTTCTCAAAGATCTTTGCTATGTTTTTAACCCTTTTAACAATTTTTGTTCCACCATTGTATTTGGTGGACAATCTTGTGTTAGGATGTGAAAGGGACAGACGCGGGTCATCGTTTAGACCATAATTGCAATGGTGCCAAGTATCTTTGGGCAATTTTCTTTAAGGGACTTGATCATTTTTTAGGCAACTTTCGAAAGCGTCATCGAGGGATTATGATCATTTGGATTGTTTGTTTTGCCCAAAGAGACCTAACATGCAATATGGCCCAATTTTTGAAAGGCAACAAGTGGATGTAACCCAAGGGGTGTTAGTGTGCAAGTGTGTTTTATTGCATACAAGAGTTTTTTTTCTTTGAATTAGGTTTTTCTATTTCATTGATTTTATCTTGCCATACACGTCCTAATTACTAGCAATAAGAAGTGGAAATGTAAAATCCTACGCTATTACAACAATTAGGGGAGGGGGATACTCATTTGTACATGGGGGGTTCAACGAGAAAAATAGACAAAAAAAGAAAATAGCAAAAAACAAGATATATATAGAGAGAGAGAGAGAGGGAGCCAGCGCGCTGCTGAGAGGTCATCAGAAGTTCTGACTCAGATCCGCTGCCAGATGATCAACCTATTAGTGAAACTGGATGAGTCAGAACTTCTGACTCTGGCACCTGCAAAACAGAACCTTGTTAGTGGGGAAATCAGAAGTTCTGATTTCCCTGCGCTGCAAGACAGAAGTTTGTTAGTGGAGAAACCAGAAGTTCTGATTCTGCTGAAAAGGCAATAACTCTCAGAGGTTCTGATATCATTGACAGCAAAACAGGCTTCAGATATGCTAACGTCAAAGTCAGCATTTGGCTTTTTCCTGTACTAATCAGAACATCTGCAATGCTGTTGTTACTCCACAAAACAGGAAACATATTTGGAACAGATCCAGCAAATACAAAAAATGTTTCAGAGGTCAGAGCCACCAAGGTCACAGGCAATTCCTATACTGGCTCAGAACGTTCTGAGGTACGAAAATCCTCAGAACATAAACAGCAACAACATGATATTTACATTATGTGTATTGAAGTATGCACAGCTGATGATGCTTAACAGCGTGATGAGGGTCAGCAGGTGCTTACCTGACTGTTGGGAAAGTTGTGGGTGAAAGTTTAGCTTTTGGTTCTGGTGGTGTTCTGGACAGATTTTTCTTTGAAAAAGGGGAAGTAAAGGTATATACGTATGCAGGGTCAGAAGTATGGAAAGGGTGTTTTTGGTTTACAGAAAAAACTGGATATTTGATGAAGTTGAAGGTGAGAAACTCAAAGTTATGAAACAAAACTGGAGATTTTTGCAGAGTTTCAGAACGCTATGTTGCTAAGGGTTGCTGTTTCTCTCTTAGCAATTTTTCTGTTTCTTTTCCTGAACGCCTTTTGCAGTGGTGAAGACTCTCTATTTATAGGCAAAGTTCTTGTAGATGCCTTGAACATTTAAGGCGCCAACAGAGTTTGAATTTGTTCTTTGACAGAAATTCCTGGGAAGTTGTGATAACAGCTAGCTTTCAGCCTAGGTTGCAGCAGCAGGCGTAGATTGGGGAGAAGTGACCTCTGAAGTGGGCGGTGGCGTGAAGACCCATGCCAGAATCTGTGCAAAAGCATTTTCCAAGCCACACGTGAATGCTCAGGAGTGGTTGGAAGCATTAATGGGCATTAAATGGTGACAAGACCTATCAACATCAACATTCTGGTAATGGAAACCAGCGTTGAATCAGCAGCGTAAACCATGCTCTGGCCTTGGCTTCCTGTTGTCTTGGTAAGCTCTGGAGATTCTTTATCAGTGTAACACCCACTCTTCTGATCTTTCATCTTCTGATTTCAACCTGTTCTGAAGGAGCCTTCAGACTTTCCTGCTTCTCTTGCATTCCTTTAGCAAATTCTAACTGAGCTTATGGAACTGCTGAAGGGGCATGTTCTGTTTGAGGCTTACATATTAACCCACGTTTACAACTTCTGATTGAACTG